TTTTATTTTGTGGATTCGACATACTCTAAAGTTGAAAATCAAGCTTACCATTTAAATGTCTAATAAAATGTAGATATTTATATAAAAGGTAATATGAAAAATATTATATAAATATTTACATTTTATTAGACATTCAAATGATAAACTAGATTTTGAACTTTAGAATATATTAAACCTATAAAAAAGGAGTAATATGAAATTATAATTTTTTATTAGGATAAAATTATATTTTTTAACGGTTATATTAATAGATATAAATGAAAATGAGTTATGTGTTATACGTGCACAAATGTCATAAAATGTAGGAGTAATATTATAAATGTGAAGAAGTCTAAATGATTAAGTGATAAGTATGAGGGGATCTAGACATAATTTATCAATTTAATTTTATGTGGACATTGATACAAATTTCTATCTTTAAGGGTGTAAATTGAGATTTTTTATCTTTGGGGTGCATATTGATATAAATTTTTATCTTTGAGGGTGCAAATTGAGATTTTTGATCTTTGTGGGTGCACATTGATACAAATTTCTATCTTTGAGGGTATAAATTGAGATTTTTGATCTTTGAGAGTGTAAATTAAGATACGAACAATCTTTCGAGGTGCAAAATAAGATTAACCCTATCTAATTCTATCCTCTACTTGTATCCGAACCAAAAATGCCCTAACAGAACAAAGGAGGGCCAGGTACTAACTTCAAATCTAAAATCCAGCCAGCAAAAAATAGGGCCAGCCCAAAGCCAAGTGCAGGCCCACAATGGCAATATTGATAGAAAATTTGACGCTTCAAATGGTAAAAAAATTACATAGATAGATCCTTTCAACTATGTTTTTTCTCCTGTCAACCCTTGCATTTTGCAAAAAATATATAACTAGGGATCCAGAACACTTCCAATATAATTTCTCTTTAATTTTCTTCTTTGTGAATAATCCCCCCATTATTGAGTAAGAGATTTACTTACGTACAATGAGTCTTACTTAAATACATAATAAATGATTTGTCAAGAAAAAATGTTATGTCATATAACTTGAGGAGCATGCATGAACTCTCACAAAGACAAGACAAATCTAAGAATTTTTAGGAAAATAACATCACTTCCACAACAGCTAGCGACCCACTGCAAGCCCAATTACCCAAAAGGCTAGTCTCTTGGATGTGGTATGCGGAAACCATATAATTGGAGAGTACAATTCGATATCTCATTCAATGCCCTCCCCTTTCAGCCCGAGGGGAGGAATACTACAAGGAAAATGTCCTGTTCAGATGAGTTCGTAAGTGGACCTTAACTCACAACTAAAATCTACTTCAAAATCTAATCAATATCCTTTGTTTAAGCAGGCATTTCATGACCATTGGGTTCAGGATAGCCGGCTTCAAGGACAAGACATCCCTTTATGTTCTTAGAGAGACACTGTAAACACAACCACCAAGACGTTTAATCATGGTCAAGACGAACAACCAAATCCAGTATATAGAAGGTGGGGTAATTGTAAGTCACTTATTGGAGATGATTGTAAATCAATTTTTTTTTCTATTTTTTCAATTATATTGTCTGTTTATTGGGTACAGAGAAAGGAAAAATAGATACTCATCTCTATCATTTGATTAATCATGAAATACTCAGCCCCATCAATGGGCAAAATGAGGGATAAGGAGCCAAAAAAGAAAAAGAAAAAAAAAAAAATCAAAGCGTCCATCATACATTAGAGACTTACCATGTTGTCGAATGTCATTGGCTAGGGGGAAGTTCCTCACTACTCTTTGTTTTGCCCCGGAGCATGTCTGTAAAACCACCTCCCATGATTCGCCTAAATCTTGTGTCCTCAACCGGTGGTTGCGGTGGTGGGACAGCCGTTGCAGGTTCAACTGACTCGGGAGGTGGCCACGGTTGATCTGCAGTTTCCTTCTTGCCCAGTAGCCCGCCTTCACCAAAGAAACTGCTCACAGATGATGCAAGCCCGAGATGAGCACCCATCACTTTACTGATTGCATCAAATGTTCCACCTGATCTTTCCTTCATTATAATCTCAAGAGCTTCTTATGTGCTGGATCAAGTGCATCAGTGTCTTTTAATAGGTTCTGTATGGAAGGAAGGAGGAAATCCCTAAAACTAGTGACTGCCAGATCTGCAGAAAGCAGAGAAGAGATTGAGCACCAAGTGGAGAACAAGGGAATGAGAAGCTGATATTGTACTACAGTCTATCAGAGCTATGAGACAGACAGTTTAGCCGCGTCAAGTAAGGTCAGAGATTCTAGTGACCCCCATCTATATTCGATATGCAACCAAGGGCGGATTTATTAGTGGACTTACGTGAGCTGAAGCCCAAGGTAAAAAAAAAAAAAATTACCATTAAGTAGCAGCCCAACCCCCAAAAAAATTACCACTATATTTTTCCCCCAAAGTAACCCAACCCAACCCATCCAACCTAACCCAACTGCTCCCTGCAACACACAGTGGTTCCCAGCAGTTCCCTGCAACACACAGGCAGTCTACTCTCTCAGGCGGTCACTTTCCCAAATTCTCGGACAAGCAACGGCTCCATGACATCACACAAGCGACGAGTCAAGCGGGGAGTCACTTCCCCAATCTCCTCTATCTCTCTCTTCAACGCATTAGATCCCTTTTCCCTCTAACGGTTGTTTCCTTCAACAGATTTATTTCCTCTAACGGCTGTTTCCTTGGTGCAAGGTAAGTTTTTCACATTAAATGTGAGGATTTATTGAGTTTATTTTATTTATTAGGCAATAATTTATGTTTACTTTATACTATATTGTTTTAAATGATTGGTTGTTAACTATTGTTTGGGCTATTAATCAGTTAAATCTTTTCTGATTCACCTTTCCATTTCTAGTGGTAAATTGTCTGGGCATGGATTTTGTTTAATTATGCGGTTCGTTGCTCATAAAGCACAGGAAAAATTCAATCAGGCTTGTCTTTATTTATTTATTTTTTTGTGTTTGGGATCAGTGAAGTGGAGCTTTACATTTTTTGGTTTTCAAGTGATGATATGTTTAAGATTCCAAATTCCATTAATTATGTTTTGTTACAATTTTTTTTTCCCTGATCAACCAAAAGAAGCACAAGCTTTGAGTAATTGAAAATCAGTGCGTGTACTTTTATGACTTTGTTTTAGTCTCTACATTTTCTGGACAATCATAGACTTTTATGGCTTAGTGAACTGATGATCAAAACATTTGGAATGTCTGAACAAAATTTATGAACTCTTCACAAGCTGACTACATAAATTGCTCAAAATGTCTTTTATACTTAGGTTACAGATCTTTGACTGTTTAGTGTAGTGTTGGGTCATTTAATCTTGTTGATTTATTTTTCTAATTTTTAGTCCTTCTCTACTTTATTAGGATGAAAAATCAAGAACAAAAAAGAGCAAAAATAATTTTTTCGTTCTTCAAAAAGAAAAGTGGAGAAGAAACATCAAATTCTACTCTTGAACCTTTGAGTCTAGTAGAAACATCAACAAGTGTTGATGTTCCTATGATTTCTGCGGCTGTTGAACCTCAAGGTCCTCAACATCAAACAATAGTTCCAAGGATTCCTTTTGATGAGAATGAACTTGAACGAGATCTCGCATTGCATATTCTGATATGAAAACATCCTGCTTATAATCAAGATGAAGTTAGACGTACTTATATAAAGTGGGGACCAAATCAACCTATCTTGGCTGAGTATCCGAGGACTAAAACTGGAGTTCAAAATCGAATATTTCAGAAAAGTTGGTACAAAAATTGTCATGGCTAGAGTATTCTATTTCAAAAGATGCCGCATTTTGTTTTCCGTGCTTTGTTTTTCAAGGTCGTGAACCTCTACATCCTGCATTTATCGTTGATGATTTTAGTAGTTGGAAGAGAGTGAATAATTGGGTCAAATGTGTTTTCTTGTCACATATGGGAGGTCTTGCTTCCACACACAGTAATGCTGTGAGAAATGTTGAGGCGTTGAAGAATACATCAGTGCACATTGATAAAATTATGAATGTTCAAAGTTCAGAAGAAATAAAGAGAAATCGATTGCGTCTTAAGGCTACCATTGGTAGTGTTCAATGACTTACTTTACAGGGATGTATTTTGAGAGGTCATGATGAATCTGTAATGTCAAAGAATCGTGGTAATCTAATTGAGATGATTAGTTTGATGGCAAAGTTGAATGTTGAGATAAATGATGTTGTCTTAGAGAAAGCTCCAAGAAATGCAAAGTATACGTCTCCTATGATCCAAAAAGATATTTTGCATATTCTAGCTACTAAAGTAAGAGAAAAAAATCCGTGAAAAAGTTGGAAATGCCAACTTTGTATTTTGGTTGATGAAGCAAAGGATGCATCAAATAAAGAACAGATGACAATTGTTCTGAGATTTGTTGATGTTCAGGATTTTTTGTAGTAGAGATTTTTTGAGATTGTGCATGTTAAAGATACCACTTCTTTAACTTTTAAGAAGAAAATATCAAAAGTTCTTACTCGACACAATTTGCACATTCAAGATTTACGAGGTCAAGGATATGATAGTGCTAGCAACATGTGTGGTGCATTTAATGAATTGCAAGCTTTGTTACGCAATGATTGTGAGTATACATACTATGTTCATTGTTTTGCTCATCGTTTACAACTTGCATTAGTTACAACTACTGAAGATGAGATTTCAATATGACAATTCTTTTCCAAATTGACATGCATTGTCAATCTTATTAGTGCTTCTCCTAAGCGTCATACAGAACTGTGATCTGCCCAAGCTATTGAGATTGAAAGGGAGATAGCTAGTGGTGAACGAGAGACTGATAAAGGGGCTAATCAGATGGGTACTTTGCATCGAGCTGGTATTACTCGTTGGAGCTCACATTGCAGTCTGATAGATATGTATGATGCTATCATTAGTGTGTTTGAATGTATAGTTAACGAATGATCTTCAAATACAATTCGTGGGGAAGCTGGTGGCTCTTTAATGGCAATGAAGTCCTTCGATTTCATATTCATATTGCATCTTATGCACAAGATTATGGGGATTACGGATATACTTTGTTGGGCATTGCAGCATAAATCATTAGATATTTTGAATGCAATGAATTTAGTCTCATCGACAAAATCATTACTTCAAATCTTGCGAGCAAAAGATTTTGATTATCTTTTTGACTATGTGAAATCAGTTTGCATGAAATTTGATATCGATATACCTGATATAAGCACTCAGTACAAAGGGGCAAGACGTTCATGTCAACAAAATGATAACATTACAGTTGATCATCACTATCACATGGACATATTTAATGCTACGATTGATCATCAGTTAGAAGAGTTACATAGTAGATTCAATGAAGAGACAATGAAATTGCTTATGCTCAGCTCTGCTTTAAATCCTCAAGACAACTTTAAATCTTTCAATCCTGATCGCATTTGTTTACTTGCCGAGAAGTTTTATGCAGTTGATTTTGATAGATAAGACATGCATAATTTGAAATGTCAACTGAATCAATATCAATTTGATGTGGTTCGTCATGAGAGGTTTCAAAGTATGTCTACAATTTCAGAATTATGTCCACAATTTCAAAATTATGTTGTGGTTTAGTAGAAACAAATAAGGCAGAGTCCTACAATTTGATTGATAGGTTGATTCGTCTTATTTTAACTCTTTCCGTTTCTACGACAATTTCAAAAAGAACATTTTCAGTCATGAAACATGTCAAAAGTACTCTTCGTAACAAGATAAAAGATGAGTATTTGACTGATTCGTTAATTGTCTACACTGAAAGAGAAATAACGGAAGCAATCGATACAGATTCAATAATATATGCTTTTTGTTCTAGGAAGGATCGAAGAATCCAATTTTTTTAGTAAGTGTTTATGAGTTTACATTTGTATTATTGAATATATGTTTATGAGTTTACATTTGTATTTTATTGGTCGTATGAATATTTAACTTAGCCAAAGATAAACAAAAATTCTAGCTCCGCCCTTGTATGTAGCAACCACTAAGGCCTCATCTGCCTAGCAAACTACGACTATAAACTACTAACTAGGGAAAGAAAAAGATTATTTGTTATTCTTGAAAGAAGCAAACCTATAGCATCTAGGGCACAGATTGCTTCACCAAATACGTTGGCTCTCTCCCGATGACGCATCATGTCACTTGAAGGAGGGGATGTGGTTGTAAGTTGGAAAATCTTCGACAATAAATGTATAATACGTTAAGAAACAACAATTGTAGGATTTTCACCTAACATTTTGAACCAACAAAATACTTAAAAGGCCAAAAATAATAAGCCAGAACTGCATGCTTAATTACTTGATGCATTAAAATTAATTCACCACGGAAAACGTTTGAGGATATAATCTCTAAGCCTATCTATTGTATGTGGTACAGCCACCACCAATGCACGTATCACAGTAATGGTAGCTTCATGGGATCCATCTTCAAGAAAAGCATCCATTTGAATGCGTATTTTATCAACAATCTAAAAGGAATTTGGTCAGTTAATTCCATTCAAACTTCTCAATTGATAATTGTCAGTTACAAAATAAATACTAATTAAACACCAAATATTTACCATGTCATTTTTAAAATGTTGTGCTACAGCTCCAAATGCAGCAATGCTAGCATACTTAACGTTCAAATTTTGGTCAGAGCCAAGAGTAACTAGAGCAGGCAAAACATGAGTTGAAGCAACCTTTGCATCAATATATGGCACCTACCGAAAGAGTCAAATGATGAAGTTACAAATGCAGATCTAAAAGCATTTGCAAGAGACAATCCTACAAGAATAGAAAGGCTTACGATGACTTTTAATTGATTGGCAGCACTGATTTTCATATCTATGTTGGAACTAACAACCATTTCCCACAGGATATTAAAAATCATATTATGATGTTCTTCAAATGTGCTGCATTGTAAAATTGGAGTGAGTCAAACAATTAAATTAAAAAAAATCAACTGAATAAATGATTATTTTTTAAAAAAGATATCAACCAAAGGAAGCGAATAGAATTAAAAATCTCAGCATTGAACTTTGCTGGCTGACCCTCTTGCACTCCACTCTGACCTAACAATTTTTTCAAGTACTCTGTCAATTGTTCGTGCTTGCTAGGAGAACAAAACACACTAGCCAAGAGAAGTGGAAGGACACACATAATAGCCAGTCTCTCAGCCACTACAGTTCTCGGTCTTAAACCTGTAATGAAAGAAGAATTCACAATCATACAGTGGTGTACAGTAATAGTAGCATAGAAAAAAATTCAGATATTCACTACCTCTAATTCT